CAGCTTGAAGACTAAGGTGCGCATGAACCAAGCCATGGTATTTTCAATAACCTCATATGCATGCGAAAGCTGGACAGTAAATAAGGAAGACCTTATTTTTTGAGTTATGGTGTTGGAGGAGAATATTGAAAGTGCCATGGGCTGCCAAAAGAACCAACAGATCTGTGTTGGCAGAAGTGCAGCCACAGTGCTCCTTGGAGGCCAGGATGACCAAACATTGTCTCTCATACTTCAGGCATATTGTCAGGAGGGACCAGTCACTGGAGAAGGATATGTTTGTTAAGGTGGAGCATCAGAGAAAAAGAGGAAGACCCCCAATGAGATGGATTGGCAAAGTGGAAGCATCAATGGGCTCATGTGTGGCAACAGTAGTGAGGGTGGCTCAGGATGGGGCAGTGTTTCTTTCTGCTGTGCATAAGGTCACTATGAGTCGGTATCAACTCAGTGGCACCTAACAACAACAATAAATATTGCTGCTAGGAATTCAGGTGTTATTCTGACTAACCATTGTTCCTAATCATTCATGTACAGCATACTTTTCCTCTCTCTAAAGTTTTTAGGATCCTTTCTTTATTGCTGGTATTTTGAAATTTCATAAAACTGTCTTGGTGTGGGTGCTTCTAAATTTTTTTGTTCTATGTTCTTTTGATTAGAAAACTCATGGTCTTTGATTCTGAGAAACACAGTAAAGTTGCTTTAGTACCCTTTCCAATGGCTGGTAGCTACACTATGGTCTGTTCCCGTACCTCTTCCAGGGGGCTTGTTTCTGAAACATGTTCACCTTTAGTTCTATATACTGTGTTCTGTAAATGGGAATGCCCTGTTTCCCTAGACCCAGCACCTCTACAAGCCCATTGTTGATCCATAGTGCTCTTGTGTCAGTGTTAATCATGAATAGAACAATCTCTTTGCAATGTACTTAATTAAACAAAGGGCCGGGGGAGGATAAAAGAAAGAGTAAGAAAACAGAAGCAAGGAAAGAAGGAAGGGAAAAAAATCATTTTACTGACTTTGGTCCTTCTGCCCAGGTGAAAGGAATGGAAAGATGCTTCTGGCATAGAGTCTTAGGAGTAAACATCAGCGCATCTGAGCTCTCTCTGTGTCAGGAAGACCAGCCTAGTTAAGATTAGAACAGAGTCATGGAAAAGGAGAATGGCTTATCTCCACACTGCAACACAGATGAGTGGGGAATCAGCAAGTGACCTGAGCAAGAGCAGAATTCCTCATGAAGACTATGGGTAGGGGGAAATAATGAGAAAACTAACCATACTGGCTTTATGGAAAATTCAGGGCCTGCCGGGTCAAACGTCTTCAACTGCACATTTTAACAAAGATTTGTGGACCAGGAAGAATGCTATCGGCCTTGCCTGCTCCATTGCCTAGCAACGAACCTCTTTCTCATTCCCAGCAGGGCCAAAGGGGCTCAAGTTTGAATTTGGAGGGCAAAGGGTGAGGGAAGAAGAAAAGATAATCACCTGGTCTGAATGATAATGAGAGATAGTCTATGTGCAGGAGGTACCTACCTGCCTTGCTAACTCATAGCCAATTAAGAAAACACTTATTTTCCTTGTGTGTCTTTTTTGGGGTGGTAATGGTAGTTTATTCTGTACTGCCTCTGAGGATTAATGTTTGCTCTGAGAGGTGTGCATCTGTATGTGGTTATATTTCTGTAGAAGTTTGCTGAATAATTGGAGAGTAAAAGGCAGGCACATCTCTTCCACTGGTAGTGGGGCTCAGAGTGTCACAAGGATTTTGCACTGGAAAGTGGATCACTAAGCCCCTTCTCTGAATCTTTCTACCTGACACCAGTCACCTTCTGCCAAGCTCTGACAGTTTTAATTTCATCTGAGTAACCCTCTGCCCTAGTCCAGATCATCAGAGAGACAGATGCTGAGAGGGATTAAAAGTACAAATTTGTATTAGGCAATCGCCTGTGAGACAGGAAACAAGGAGGGAGCTAGGAGGATCTGTCAGGCAGTGATGTAAGTCTGACCCTAAGTGAAGGTGATAGGAGGGAAGTTTGAATGGAAGTACTTAAACTTCCATGGAGTCTAAAGAAGGTCCTTATGGCCATATGGTAGTTTTCAGGCTGACGTCAGTCATCAGAAGAGTCTTGCCTTGCTCAGAAATAGCCAACTCTAGGTGCATTTGTTATTGACTAGAAGAACCCTATGGGCACTTACTTTCCCTGTGAGGTGCCTTCTGTGGCTGCTACCACATCAGACTTGGGGAAATGTACTCCTCAGAAGTGGAGAGGGGATGAGTCTTTGATTGGTGAAACAATCTCCCTGGGTGTTGGAATATTGAACCAGAAAGTAGAGGACCACACAGTAGAAGTATGAGAAAGGAGGTACTTTGGAGAAAAAGGTGAATTTAGTGATAGGGAAGAAAGGTTGTGTTCTATGGAGGGGACAGATATTTCAGCATGAACGTTGAATTTTTCCTCCTGTTCTTTTAAATACTTCAACTTAATGATGTCTGATGAACCACATTGTCATTGCTGTATTTTGTGAGACAAGATAGTAGAGAGATATGAGGCCTGCCTATATCCACTTGTTGCTCCATGAAAACTAAACAACAGCTTAATTCAAACCCACTGCAGTTAAGTCGATTCCAACTCATGGAGACCACATGTTACAAAATAGAACTGTGCTCCATTGGTCTTTTTCCTTATGAAATCATATTGCCAAGCTTCACTTCCACGGGATCTCTGGATAGGTTCAAACCTCTAACCTTTCAGTTAGTGGTGGTGGTGGTGTGCCACTGAGTGGGTTCCAACTCATAGTGTTTCCAAGGCTGTAAATCTTTATGGAAGCAGAAAGTCTATGTTTCCCCAGTGGAGCATCTGATAGATTTGAACTATTGAACTTGCGGTTAGCATCCTAGCTCACAATCCACTACATTACGGGGCTCCATTTCCAGTTAGTAGTTGAGTGCAAACCATTTATACCACCAAGGACCTCAACCACTTATTAAGAAGAATGTTTTCAGATGTTCCAGATGGTAACTAATGAACTTAGTGGGAGTCCAGTGAGAACAGAATGACACTGACAGTCACTTAGGAGAGATACAAGGTAAGACTTCCTGTTCTGTGGTATAAAACAGAGAGAAAGGACCTTTAGGGATTGAAAGAAAGTTGGTCGTTTGGGGTACATTAACTTTTTTGAGTGTTTACTCAAGCCAAGTGCATTACTGTGTTATTTTACTTACTCATGACTGCACAGCCCCAAGGCTGAAAGCTAGGTGACTTTTCTCAGGTAACAGAGAATCAAAATCTCAAATCCTAGTCTCCCTGACCAAGAAGTCTGTGCTATAAGTCTTTTTTTTTTTTTTGTCTGGGAACCAGGGCAATAGATGAGAGTCAGAGAAACCTGAGTTTCTCTGGTCACTGAGCATAGAATAAGCATGAGAAACATTGGAGGGTCTCCTTGGGGACCCCCATGTCTCTATCTGGGAGCACTTAGTGCTGCATGCACACTCTCAACCCCAAGCATGTGATTTGGACACTCACACTGAAAGCACATGAGCCTCTAGTTCCGAGCTGTGGCTTCACAAACAAATCTTCCTTAATGAGCCTTGGCAGCCCAATACCTTTGGTGTATCTGGCCCATTGAAATGACCACGCCTACTCTTGCTGGATCCGGTTATAAAGTAAACTATGTTCTTTGAGAGCTGTTGCATACAGATGAGTTGACAACCGGTTTGGACTGACCCACAGACTCATAAAAACCAACAGGGTCTCAGATACCCTCATATATTCAAACACCTGGACCAAAGGCTCCAAGGACTTGTTCACATCAAAGGTCCAGCTACTTTCTTGGGGTGCAAGAAATCAAGATTTTTGTCTCCACATTCACTCTGGCCATCCACGAGGTAAGGTGAGGAACTCCACATTGTCTCTGTAGAAAAAAAGAGTTAAGTTTGTGGGAATTTAGCCCTCTGTTTTCCACCTCAAATCTAGACAGACTTGTCCATCCACTCCTGGGATAAAACTGTAGTTTTCATTCACTCACTTGATGCTCTTAAGCTGTAGATTATCCTTTGATTACTAGGTGTGGGTTGCATCCTGCCTTCTTTCTGTCATCGTACAGCCTTTTGAGCTGGACGGCACTTAGCATGATTGTGTGATGCCTGGTTCCAAAATTTTCTGCTCTTGGTGACAGAGAGGTGTGTGGAAGTTCTATCTCTGATGGCACTCTAAATTTCTAAAAGACCTAGCAGAATGGCTGTCTCTCTTGGCCTTTTCCCATCTCTAAAGTAGAGGATAAAGGTGCTAGTGGGGCCTTTTGGATAAAAAATTTTATGAATGAAGGATTAATGCTAGTATGATATTTCACTGCTATTACCAAGTGCTTTTCATTTCATTTCTTCACATAGAGCTTTGTGGAATATTGCACCATTTTGAGTGAATGGATTTGGGTTCTTCAACATTTGTAACCATGAATGCCCAGTATTTCCTTATGCTCTGTTTTTAGATAAAGAATGAACAAGTATGGAGCCTCTTTTCCAAGTATGTAGATTTTATAGATTTGGTGTATCATTATTCCAAAAACAGTTTGTCACTTGCAATTGATAACCATTTGCAAGGCATTTCCCCCCCCCCCTTTAATTTGGCATACAAAATGGAGAGAAAAGAAAACAAATCCAATGAGTTTTGTAAGAAGACTGTGGTAGACAAGTACTTATCAGACACCTTCATGTTGAGAATTGCAGAGTCTTCTCAGGTACCTTCAGTCATGGGTTTGGCTTTCATTATCTAACACTGCATAGTTTGTGTAAATGTACTCTAAGTCAACGTCAATTTTTAAAAGCATGATGGTGTAGGGACATTCAGGAAGATATGGATCATCAGAATAATTTTCTCTTTGATATTCAAGACATGAGAACATATTTTCTCCTCTGTAAGAAATCTACCAAGTCCAATTGGGCACAAGGCTGAACTTCCAAAGTTGAAGGAGGGGACTTATTTGTGAGTGGTCCTTGGAATTCTGATACTGTGGATGGCTTTAGGTTCTCTCTTTCCCACCCCTTTGGTATAAGATGTTTATCACTGCCAAACATGCTTTGTTCTAGAAAGTTGAGATTCAGAATTTCTCACATATTCACACGCACATGTCTCCTTCCTCTTCCCAACAAAGCATTCTTCTTGTTTACAAATCTTCCCTGGGTCTTTTCACAACTCAGTGATTTTTTTTTCTTTCTTTCTTTTTAAGGATTTAGCTTCGATTCACATGTTTGGGCTTTGACCTGTCATGTGGATCAAAGGTTTCCTAATTCCTTCTCATAGAATTCTCACTGCTGCTGTTAACCACCATCAGGTTGGCCCCAACCCAGGTAGACCCCTACACACAATGGAATAAAATGCTACCGGGTCCTGGGTCATCCCATGACTAGTTCGGGATCAGACTGTTGTGATCTATAGGGTTTCTTTGGTTGATGTTTGGAAATAGCTCACCACAGCTTTCTTCCTAATTTGTCTTATTCTGGAAGCTCAATCACAACAACACAGAGGCCTCCACTGGTGGCGGCACATGAGATTTATTGGCTGGAAACTGAACCAATGTCTCTTACATGGAAGGCAAGAATTCTACCACTAGGAATGTTTCAATATCTCAGCAGTTTTTATCCTGGGTTTGATACAAATGTCACTTCCCATGCCTCTACAACTTAACATGGTAATGATGACTAATATCTCTTTTCTCATTGAAATTATTATTTTACTTTTATTTGCGTTTTATTTTAAGCTTAATTTACTTCTGAGCCATAAGTTTTTGTTTCTTCAGTTTCTTCTGAGACATCTTTTTTCTTCTGTGCAACCTCCTCTTCTGGTTTAGGAACAATTTGTTCCTTTTCAGCAAGAATCATCTCAATATGGCAGGGGGAGCTCATGTAGGGGTTGATCCGACCATGAGCTCTGTAAGTTCAGTGATGCATCTTGGGAGCTTTGTTGACCTGGATATGCTCAATGATTAGAGAATCCACATCTAAACCCTTAAGGTCAGCATTGCTGTCTGCATTTTTAAGCATGTGCAGCAAAAATTCAGCACTCTTTTTGGGCCACCGACCCTGTGTCCAACCCCACTGTTTGGCCTGGGCACACCTACCAATGCCACCATTGTAATGTCAGAATGATACACATTGTTCGGCAAAGTGACATATTTAAGATACTTGGTGGCTTTCCAGATATGCATACCCTTGATGGCCTGGGCAAACTCATGGGTGTTCTTAAAATGGACCCAGAGATTTGAACCTCTGGAGTTGCATGATTTTGTGGGGTTTTCTGGGTCAAGTGAGTAGTGAACCATTTTGTGAGATTACCTCAGGCTGCTTATGAGAAGAGTGAAATTTTTATTTATGATACATACATGTGGTTTTTTTCATTCACCTTTCAACAAGTTTATGAGTACCCATAGTGCAACTTCCAGGGGAATTAATGAATCTTATTCTCTGGCACTTCCAGTTTAGGGAATATGCACACGGAAACAGGATATTGCACTCTAGTAGAATAAATGCCATGATGTAATGGATTATTACATGACAATGTAGTTATGATATAATCTTTGCATGATCAGGGAGGGAAGACTTCAGAGAAGCATGCTACTGAATTCTCCAGGTAGACAGGATGGGACCTGATCTGGGCAGGAGGAAAGGCATTCGAGAACAAGGAAATAGCATTTACAAAAACACTGAGGTACCACAAATATATTATATACATACACAGAGACTATCAAGCTGGTGTATCTAGGGGTGGGCAATCTAGGAAGGTTTGAAGAAATATTAGGCAAGATATTTGAAGAAATATTAGGCAAGAGTCAATGCAAGAGTGTATGATAAAGGATCTGTGTGTGGTGCTGAGAGTTTTGGGTAATATTTTGAGGGCAATGGGGAACCATAGAAAGACCATGATTACATTTTAGAAATGTTGCTTCAGCTACAAAGTTCAAGGTGACTGGAACAGCATGAGACCATTGCCAGGGAAGCCAGTTGGAAGATTAACAGACAGAATGTACGAACTTAGTGGCACATGGCTGTGGAGAGTGAGCAGGGGTCAGGCTAGGAGGAGTGAGCCTCCGACTTGATACTCTGAGAGTTCGCTGATCTCATTCAGAAACTCCCCCAAAGCCCTTGAATTTTAAAAAGATGCTTTCTTTACATGCATCTTCATACATCCATATGATTTATTGGTCAGAGAGATGAGTTAACTGTTCCATAAGTTATGGGTTGTTAGAGACTGTAGGATAGGGAACTAACTTTTCAGGTGTCTCCTTTTCTGAAATAAGGGCTTCACTAATTGGCTGTGTCACTTAGATACCTGCATATTGGGGAGAAGGAGATGTCTCAGCAGAGTGAGACATAGCAGCTTGGGTCCCATTTCCCCTGAATACCTAGGTTTTAAATGAAGCATTGCCTGGATATATAGTCAGCCTGTCTGCTAAACCCCACTTTGGCCCCTTATGAAGTAGAGCAGACAACATGTCACCTGCTATTGGAGAAGTTTGCAGCTGAGACAATGTCAGGAATTATAATGATTTTGCTGGAAATCAGAATTATCCATAATTGTCCCAATGCATCCCCAGCTTTTGCTGAGTCAGATATCATGCCGACTTTTTCCTTTGAACCATTCCTATAAAGTGGTACTGTCAAAATAGTACAGGTGCTGGAGGGCTGGAGGACTTAAGTCAGTGATACAGACTGAATTGTATCCAACCATCATACCTCCCCCCACAAACATGTATAGAAATTCTAACCTCTGTACCTATAAATGCGGCTTTGTTTGGAAGCGTTTTGTTATGTTAATGAGGTCATACCAAAATAGGCTGTGTTCTAAACCTAATCACTCTTTTTTTTTTTTTTTAAATGTTTTATTGTGAATTATGTGATAGGTTACATGGGAGAACATTAGCTTTACATTCATCCTATTGTATATCATTTCATTGCCATGGTTACAATCCCCTCCATGCATCATCAACCAACCACAGGGTATACCCTACAAGCCTTCCCCTTCCCCCTCATCAGCACACAGCCCCTCTCTCTGGGTCTAAAGTACCCAGCCGCTCCATCTCTCCACATCATCATCTCTGCCTTCATCTCTGGCATTACTGCTTCTCTGGCTAGGGTCCCACTCTCTGCTCTTCTCCCTTGATAGTCCCAGTGACCTCCACTCCTAGACTGCAAAGTCAATCACTCCCTCCTTTTGCTACAAACTGTCTACCTTTACATTTCCAACCCTCACAATCAGTCCTGATAACAATTATTCACTATTGTATCACAAGAGACCTATCCCCATCTTCCTTTCATCAGCCCCGCCCAGACAGATTGGATACTACTCAGTGGAGACTCTACCTTCCTCCATGCCCTCTGGATCTAGGCTCCCTCTTGAAAGTTTGTAAGCCAGTCACTTCTTGCCTTTGTAGCCCCCCATTTGGGTAGCCAATGTCCAAGTTGCCTATCCCTGTCTACTCTGTGTATGGAGCAGGTGGGAATGATCTTCACTGTAAAGATTTGTTCTCTCTTTTGAGCTACTGCATCCATACGTGTAGGTCAAGTTCATCAAATTCTTCTGATTACTCTTTTTTTTCCCCTCTTCTTTCTTCTTCTAGTTGAGCTCTGATCATCCAGTCATTGAAGCCAGGTCAAGTGGGCATTATCTGCAAGTGTGGGTGTTCTTATAAAGCTAATCATTCTTGAGTTATAAAAAAAGTGCAATAATGACACCGACAGACACAGGAGGAATATGCCACACAAAGACAGTTATACACAGCAGATGCATTTAGAAGTCTAGGAATCCAAGGATTGCCTGCAGCTACTAGAAATGGACATAGACAAGGAAGGACCTCTCCCTAAAGTCATGCCCCGGATTCAGACTTCTAGGC